TGAGGCAAATCCGTCACCGATCCTACGAGGTGTAAATCGCGAACATGCGAAAGGTGTGGGGCCAGCGGGCATCCATTCGCTTGGGCCTCGCAACTATACCTTCCTCGACAGCGATTCTTCATCATCTGATGCCGAACGCCAAGTGTCTGACATATCTTTACATACTCTACATCCGGACTTTCGGAAAGTGTGAGACCGACATCGCTGCTTGTTGTTGCCGAGGAGGAATCATTACCATGCGTGTTGCAACTCGGGTCATACGATCTATCCACCGGAAGAGGACGACAGCCATGGCATGATGTGGATGGATTGAACTGACGCGTGGCAGTGACTTGAGACTTATACCCTTCATCAGTCTCATCACCGATGGCTTACACGAAGTCATTCCAATACCTACTTCGATATCTTCATGCGATTTACGTCTGTTTGATCAGGTCGTACATGCAATCTGACATGCTCGGGGACGACACCTAGATGCCCACACAAGATTCAAGCTTACGCCCTATGCAACGAAATATCGTTTTGTATAGCATGACTAGGCACGCATACTGGAGAGCTATTATTATGCAGTCTGCTGGACGTAGTGCCAACCAGCAGAACGAACTGTTGGGCGCGTCAGCCAATCAATAATACCCTACGAATCTCGCTAAGCTTTATGGTTCTTGAAATTCACAAATATATTGAGTATCAAACTTGCGAGCTTCAAGAACGCCTGGCTGCTGTGTGGTCTCGCTCATGCCATCGTGATGGGCTTGGCGCCAAGTCTCCGAATAGTCCACGTGACCGCGCGGCGGCTGGAAACATCGACGTGCGCGACCCATCGAGAACCTCGCGCGCAACAGACCCCGACTACCTTCACCCCAGCAAAACACGCTCCACACTAAACATGCTTGATATTGAGGACTTTGACGCGGTATATCGCAATCTCCACTACAACGATGGCCTTGTTCAAGAGATTCAATCATACCGGACTGCGCTCGGCGGGCGCACCTTCTTCGAACGGCTGCTGACACTCCTAAACATCAAGGGCAAGTCGCGCACACTGTTGGGCCTCTTTAAATGCTAACTGGAAATAGGAAGCAAGATGTACCCGCCCAAAAGCTCACAACAGCTTCAAGAGCTCCATCAGCGCATAACCTCCTCCAACACCACACTACACAATAAGCACTGTCTTGTATTCTACCTACTCAAAGATTTATCGGCGCAACACCACGAAGCGACAGAGCTAGCTGAATCGTTCGCGAAAGACGTACATCTCGAGAAGCGATTCTGGACATTCGTTGAAGGACTCTGGTTCCTCGACCACCTCCAATTCGCGACCGCCGTCGGACACCTTACATACCCCGGCATAATACCTACCTTCCCCGACGAGATCATGTACACCCTCTTGACGGGGCAGGATAAAGTGAGCAGCATGGGCATGGCAAGGGATCCGAAAGATGATATACTGGCGCTAGCATACTACAACTGCGTACGGCCGCCGCTGGAGGATCAGAAGACCAGGGACGAGTTCGCCAAATACCTTGCAGGTCGCAATGTCACGGAGATGTACCAGTGGATTCACAGCAGACCGGAGTACGAGCAGCGACCACTGCTAGAGATCCTTATCGAGCAGACGCTAGATCACCAACCTTGGTCTCAGGACCCCGAACACGAGATGTACACGCGAGATGCCAAGGCGTTTGAGCTAGCGGGATTGCCGTTCAGTGAAGACGAAGAAGAGTTCATCGAGAAGTTCCTGACTGAAGGCAGAGGCAGGACCTTCCAGAGCGCACAAGATCTGGTTATGATGCGCAGGATTGCCACAGGCAAGCTGAGTGATGTTGCGTCTGATATGGGCACACGCGGACGCAGGATTGATGGTGTGAACTGGGAAAGTTTGAAGGATGGTGTGAAGAGGGGGTTGGGGCCCAGGAAGCATGAGCAGACCTTCGCCGTCTAACACGAACAGTCTGCGGAAGAGATTTCTCATGTTACCTAGTATCTAATGCATAGCGAAGGCGTCTTGGTATAAATTCAACGCGGTGCTTTAGCCTGGCACACCTGTCTCTGATCGTCTCACCAATTGCTCAACAGGAAGCTACATCTCCCATTCACAGCGCCTCGCTCAGAATACTACTCAGTCATCACTCGTATGTCGTGTCCTTCGGTATTAACTACAGCGCCACGGCTGACCAGTGCTGTATCTTGAAGTCCGCGCTACTTGGCAGCTGAATCCCACTAGTGTTGGTGCTCAGTACTCAGCGCATTCATGGGAATCTACTCCTCATTGAGACTTTGATGTCATTTAAGATTATTGTTACATTGAAATCGTATGTGGTGACGCGGAAAGTACATCAGACAACACTATGGAGCAGAGGTCTAAAGGGAAAAGAAGACGATGCAAAAGCGAGCGCAACATCAATACACATATGAGCTCCTAGCTGATCTTGGCGTGTTCGCTCCACTTCCCATTGGGCTCGAGCCTGGACTCAAGCCACCTCTTCGCCTGTCAGCCCCGAAGAACCTTTCCAGCTCTTCCGCCGGCCCGAGTACATCCTGATAATAGCTACTTTCGATGCTCTTCTCCGCCATAACATCATTGTCTTGCAGTACATTAAGGCAGAAAAACACCATGTTTCCCAATAACATGTTGCTCCTCAACTCGACCTGCGATGCGACATCGTGAGCGCTGACCTCCTCGCCATCGTTGATGTACAAGCGTGTCTTATGGGTCGCCGTGTCAAGATCAATGTACGAAAATGGTGATTTGAGCGCTATCTCGGCGAGGACGAGTCCGATGCGGAAGATTTGGATGTGCTTGGAGAGATCGCGATCATCTCTCCTTTGGCGATTCATTTGGTAGCATTGGTTCAGGGTACGTGTTGTCATCGAGGAGCCAGGCGCTGCGGTCAGCATGCTAGCCCACTTCCCATCCTTCGTTCTCCGCCAACGTACATTCGAGCAGTCGAGGAATGACAACCATTGGCTTCCTATCAATCGGAAACAGCCTTGGGCGATGCCAGTCGCTATCGCATTCTGGTCTTGAGAGTATAGCGTTTGTGAGCCGAGGTAGACATTCTGATCGCGAATCACACTCGATAGGGCTTCCTTGTACTGCAAGTCAGAGAGAAGGTTTGTTGGTGGATTCTTGACCGTGAAGCCTGCTGATGTTGACAAAGGAGGTATCATATAGCAGTCATCCTGTGTCCTGTTCATAAGACTTGACACAGCAGTAGCGAAATTCTTCGGCACCAAAGCTGGTTCGTAGATAGTTTTAAGGGTCACAGGATGGACGATGATCTCATGGCTTGCCCCATTCATGTTGAGCAAGAACGCGAAGTCGCGCTTATGAATGCGAGGGATGGATAAACCGAGATGTAGTCGATTGTCCCGGCTGGAGTCGCTGCATCGATGTAATCGCTCAGCATCTTTTTGGGCGCGAACGGCGTCCAGAACCCTGCTCTGTATCGTATCCGTCCTTCCGTCTCCGACCTTGATTATCACTCGCCGTCCAGGGAGTCGCTTGACTTCCGAGAAGATCTCTGCGTGCTCTCGCTCGAGGTAAAAGTCGGTAAAACGTTCGAGCATGGTAAGCTTTTGATATAATCGCCTGAGACGCTCTTCTAGATCGTTCGCTTTTCCAAGGACGCTCAACTCGAATCTGCGCGACCATGTGGTGTTGTGCCGAATTCTCCAAAGACACTCCTTGACCCGATCCTCGTTACTCAAGTGCTGAGTTTCTCCATAATATCCTCTCCTAGACTCGAAATCAAGGGCAAGGCCCCTGACTCGTTTGATGTCGGTCTTGATACTTCCGGTGATCACATTCACAGTACCGATTGTGGCTGTGATCCTTTCGTGGCCTTCTTTTCCAAACAGGATCCTGGTGTGAACATAGGGTCGATGCACTTGGATGTCATATTTCTGTTGCCAGCTGTCTAGAGATAGTTTCGCAAAGTCAAGCCCTTCTTTGATGTCGAAGAGTCGTTCGGATAGTCGTCTCCATTGTCTGATTTCAAGGGCGAAGGTGTGTAGAGCCTGTCCTGCTGTATAGAGGCCAGAGATAATGCCAAGAACTTCAGCCATGGCTCGTCCAGCTGGAGTGTTGGGTCGCGTTGAAGATGCGGTTGAGATATATCTTCTATGACGCTAAGGAGCAGTAGACTCGCGTGCGGCACAGTCGGGAAAACTTTGAGTCGTGTAACAGCAATAGCTGCTGAGTGCAGGAACTGTATGGTGCAATTTCGTGTAAGATGTAGTGCGAGTCCAGGATATCAGCGCGGTCGGATGGGGGCTGGGCCATCTTTTAGAGGCGGCGGCCTGATGTATTTTCGACATTAAATGGGCGGCCTCATGACCCACGAACTATTGCGGCTGAACAGATGCGAACATCAGCTCGCCGGCATTGGTGTGGGGTATTGAGGTGACATTGGTCGGAATTGGCTCCATGCATAGCGGCACAGGGATGACGTTACCGTTTGGTGGTGCTCAGCCCCCAACGGCCCCCAAAGGCGTCTGAAGTCAGCTGCCTGATCAGGCAATTGGGTCGCACTGTTCATATGAGCGTGGCATTCCTACATCTTTTCATTTCTGTTGAGTTCTCGACCCCACTGACAAATTTCTCTTGACACTGGGCGCAGTACCAGACAGAACGTTCCATGCATACCACAGAGCAGGTTTCTTCGTTATACACACATGCCTGCCTTTGTTCGTACCACGTAAAAAGCTTTTGATCATCTCCGTTCCTCCATTAGTTGCGACTCCGTGCGATGGCGACCATTTCAACCGACTTCCTAGAAGTCGACGAACGTCATCGGAATCCCAGTCATACTCGATCGCGCTCAGGAGGCTACGTCGATACCATAGAAGAAAAGGCGAGATGGGATCGAAGGAGTCGCGAACAAGAAATGAAACGCTATCATGACAGTCGGCATGGTACAGCCTCATCTCCACGAATTTCTAACTCTCCTACAACGCCTGACCGACTCGGCGTCCCCGTCTTCGAAACTACTGGGAGGATGCGATCGAGTTCAGAAGCTGGTCAAAGGGACAGAAGGTCAGAACGACGGTACAACACTCAGGAGGTCCGGCCCAGCGCGATACCAGTTTCCGGCTACGACTTGACCAACGAGCCAGTCCTGCCAAGTCAACTACCTGTAAGGTACGAAGGCAAGCCGCAGCACCAGAAGAAACCAAGCATCAAAGTGGAAATCCACCAAGACAATCCTCCATTGCCCACAAGCGATCTGGCTTTTAGGGTGAAGCGAAGCCCGAGCGCTAGCCCAAGATCACCCACTGCACGGCCGGAACTTCAGTACCAATATGCGACGCTACAAAACAAACTGGACCAGATCAGTAGCACGTGTGCTCCATACATGGATGTTGAGGCTGCGGAACCTCAAGATCTCACGTTCGACAAGATAGTAGAACACACTAAAGCTTTTGCTTTCGATCTGCAAGTGTGGGCTCATCTTTCAAACCTCGAGGGTATGGCTACGGTGGATAAGCATAAGAGAGAAGTCGTGGACGCCGCATCGCGAAGCCTAGACCGACTGTTGTATCTGGTGGCAGAATTACACGACGCTTGCTTCAAGGCCAAGCCGAAGGATCTGAAGTTCAAAAAGCTTCCTGAGACCGACGACGAGACGTTATTCGAGGACGGAGATGACGACAGGTATGTGCTCTCGAGACGTCGACGGAAACTTCTCTGACTTAGAATATCAGCGGTGAACCAGACCCTACAGAAACCTTAAGCTTCATCATTCATTCAAGCCTAGACGGAATCGAGCTGCAAATCCAGAATCTGAAGAGATTGAGTCGAACATTGCAAGAGGTCACACCGGATGCAAAAGATGAGGTCGTGGCAGTCGCGAAGCTCGTAACGGAGACCGTGAAGTACTTCGGCTCGGAAGAGGCACTGCATCGCTATGGGATTAATGAGAAGATCTCTGGGAGGAGAGGTTTGGAAGAAGCAAGGTACACGAATTCGCATTAGCCGGGTGAAGTTCAGGAGTGTGGTAAAGATGGCGGAGACGACGTAGCGTTTCGTACAGGCTGATAATGAAATTGAGGTACATTTTGACGCGTCTCGTTAACGCGTTAAGTTGGTGATGAGGCATGGAAACGCGCGCGTTGGTGTGGCTGCCGCCGCGAGCCGCTCTAGCGTCGGCTCCACGACCGGAAGCTTGGGGGCATGACGTAGCGCATCAACGTCTAGAACAGTGTGCCAATGCAACCAAGGTAACTTGATTTGATACAGGAAATGTTCTTAAGGTTCTTTCCAATTCTATATCCGCTGGTTAACGTGCCAAAGAGATCTCAGTCACGCTGGGATTCCATCTCGTGACATGTCGCTTATCCGCCCAGTTCTACGACGCCCGGCTCCGCCGCTGACAGTAGAAACCATCAGCACGGTCTCGTATGGCCAAACACCCACGAATCTGACACCGCGTCGTCGCTACATTAAATCAAACACATTCATTTGCGGAAGGCATTCGTTGCACATACAATTTCAAAATAAGAGTATATTGCGGTCTTCTGAAGATGCAAAAGAGAAAAGGATATTTACAGCGCAGCAAAAGGAATGACTGCGAAGCTCAGACGACATGCCAGAACCGAAAATGAAATGGGCGTCACCCCAGATGAGAAAGGCTCAAGCCATCACCACAAAAGGCTACAACTACCATTTACGAGCACTTGGTAACGCTGGGTACGTTGGAGCACTTGTCGTAGGTCTTGCCGCCAGTTACGGAAACATCTGTCCAGGTCCAGCCAGTGCAGGAGCCCTTTCCGCAGGTAACGACGACGTCGTAGCCACTGCTGGAGACATCGCCAGTGACATTGTCGAGCGTCAAACCGGTAATCGGAACACCAGTATCAGCGTCACCGTGAAGGTCACCACCGTCGTAGTTCTGTTCAATGAGGACGCCATACTTGGAGATCTCAGACAGGGTAATGTCTTCGTAGGTGACCTTGTTGATCTTGCCGGTCGTGCCAGCGCGAGCCTTAACGCGGACGCCGTTGACGGACTTGGTGATCTCGGAGTTCGAGAAGGTAACCGTATCGACCGTGTTGTCGTCACGACCACCGACAGAGCCGATGGAGAGACCGTGTCCACCAGAGCAGAGGCCGTTCTTGAAGGTGATATCCTATCCGTATTGTCAGCGGGTGTCATCGTCTCAATCCTCAGGGGATACATACGGTACCAGAGTTCACGGCAACACAATCATCCTGGTTGTAGACCTTTGCACCGTCGATGATGACGTTGCTGCTCGAGCCAATGTCGAAACCATCCGTGTTGTGACCTTGCTCGTCCTTGTCGCCTTCCGAGGCATCGATGGTCATGTCGGTAATGGTGAGACCGTCACATCCGTTGATACTGACTACTTGAACGGGAGGGTTCTTGATGGTAATGCCAGTGATGGAGGAGTCGGTGAGCTTGTGTGCGGAGAAGAACTTGGGCTTGGTCTTTCCACCGTTTCCGCCCTCACCGTCCCACCAGCGAGCACCGTCACCATCGAGGACGGATCCCTCAGCACCCTTGACAGTGATTTTGGTTCCACGAATGTCAAGAAGAGGTCTGAGAGTTGGTTCATGAAGTCAGTGCATATCTCATACATTTGTATTTGGATATTGCTTACCCTTTCCACTCTTTGTAGCCCCAAGTTGTGGTACCCTCGAAAATGACGGTGGTATCGTCAGCCAAGCTGGAGAGGTCCAGAGTAGTGCCTGAAGGAACAGCAACGTCCGAGAGGACCATGGTAGCACATGATGACTGCGACTTAGAAGCCTCAGCAGCTCCGTTCGAGCCCGAAAAGGTGCAGCTGGAGGCACGTTTCACGACTTCGGGCTTGGGTGCAGGAGTGATGGCCGGGGCTGGGGCTGCCACAGCGGACGCCGCCAGCGACGTGAAGAAGATACCAAGAGTCAAGGCGACCATTGTGAAAGATGATTGATTTGAAGAAAGGCTTAAAAGAGCGAGTGAAGTGCTTGGTTGCTTGGCCTACATGCTTGGTACGCCACACATATATACGAATTCCTGGTAATGATACATGCGAATGAATGACTTGGCCACCAGCCAATTACTCATACATTGAATCTACACTTGACGGAGGCATAATTTCCCGATTCAAGATTCTCCATACTGACAGATGAGGGATTGTTTCGAGATCCTCCACTAAGTGGAGAGAAAGAGGAAGAGATGAGAGGGACTTGGTCGCTCGACGCAACGCTTGTTCAGTGCGTGGGTGTGGTCAGGGGAGATTTGTTTCGGAAAATCCTCCAATGAGTGGGACCCGCCCGATTTCCACTTTTCCAAGCATGTCGTTCGAAGGTACCCTCGTGAAAATGTCAATGCATAGCCAGAGTTGCGTGACAAGCCTCGGAAAGAACGGAAACTAAAAGGCTTGACTCTGCTCCAACCCACTTCAGCGCAGTGGTGTGGGAAAGCTCTCTTCCATCGTGTGAAGTAGCGTGCCGCAAATGGCTAGTACGTCCACCGGCCATAGATTGGGAATCTGCGTTATTCCCAGCCACCTCACGACGTCTCCTGACAACACTATACGTGTTTACTGAACACCAGCATAGGGTGCAAATTACATGGCTTGTTCTTCCATGACGTCCACATACTTCCTCCCTTCCCGTTGTGGTAACCTTCCCGCTGGCGCAAGCTTCCTTCACGCGCCCTCGGCATCTCGGGCGAATGACGTTCCACCCGCCTCCGCAAACGCCACACATCTGGGGTCGCCTAGTACCTTGCATATTACCCCGCTGAGCATTTTTTCCATGGCGAACATTATACCGTCAATGAGATCGTTCCGCGACGCGCAGGTCCGGATGGTGATCTTTGGCCGCGGCTGAAGTCCACGGGCTAGCTGCGTGCGAGCTCGAGAGCCATGTCGTAGAGCAAAAGTCGCGTCGCGTCTCATTGATTTTTCTTCATCACCGAGGAAGTCAAGATGCGGTTCTTTCATTTGTTTGCAGTCGCGATCTCGCTGTTCTTTGGTGTATTAGCCGCCGATAATGGCCTGCAAACGGACGTTGAGTGGGATAACGGGTCACTCATGGTCAATGGCGAGCGCGTCATGATCATGAGTGGAGAATTCCGTACGTTGGAAATCTGGTGTGAATATATCGTAAATGTGATGAATGCTAACAGTACTTTCGCATCTACCAGACTATGCTCGCCTCCCAGTCCCCGAATTATGGCTCGACGTCTTCCAGAAGTTCAAGGCGAACGGGATGAATGCCGTTTCGATCTACTTCTTCTGGTCCTACCATTCAGCATCGAAAGGCGTATACGACTTTACGACACCTGGAAAAGATATCCAACGCCTGTTTGACATGGCGAAAGAAGCCGGACTATACGTAATCGCACGACCAGGACCGTACTGTAACGCCGAGACAAATGGAGGTGGCTTCGCTCTATGGACCAGCGACGGAAGTGGTGGCAAGTACAGAACTTCGGATGAGACATACAGACAAGCCTGGTCGGAATGGATAGCGGAAGTTGGCGAGATCATCGCAAAGAACCAGATCACCAACGGCGGCCCTGTCATCCTAGCACAAGTCGAGAACGAACTGCAACAAACCCGTTATGAAGCCAAGAACACACTGGTCATCTACATGGAACAGTTGAAGTCCGCCTTTAAAGACGCAGGCATCGTCGTACCTTTGTCACACAACGAGAAGGGCTTCAGGTCGAAGAGTTGGTCCACTGACTACAACAATGTTGGCGGCGCGATCAACGTTTACGGTCTGGATAGTTACCCTGGCGGCATGAGCTGCACAAACCTCGACACTGGATTCAACCTACCCAGGACTTACTACCAGTGGTTTCAGGAGGTCTCACCTACTCAGCCAGAGTATCTGCCCGAATTCGAAGGTGGATGGTTTCAGCCATGGGGTGGCTACTTCTTCGACCAGTGTTTGGCTGAACAGAGCCCGGAATTTGCAGATGTCTTCTACAAGGGCTTGATCGGACAGCGAGCTAGCCTCCTGAACTTGTACATGGCATACGGAGGCACGAACTGGGGCCATTCTGCAGCTCCCGTTGTATACACTAGCTACGACTATGACGCACCACTACGCGAGACACGAGAAGTCCGCGACAAGTTCAAGCAGTACAAACTTCTCGCACTCTTCATCCGTGTCAGTAAGGGTCTTCACAACACGTTTATGGAGAACAACGGCACCGCAAACGCGGTCGACAACTCCGCAATCTGGACTTGGCAGCTCAAGAGCCGCGATACGGAGGGTAGGTTCTACCTTGCTGAGAACAACAACACTCGTACCCGCGCTGTTACCGATTTCTCTATAACGGTCAAGACATCGGAGGGCGATGTCAAGATCCCGAGCATGCAGCTTGCGGGCCGTCAGAGTCGATGGGTGGTTACCGACTACGCTGTGGGTGACGAAACGCTGCTCTACTCGTCAGCCGAGATTGCTACCTATGGCCTGTTTGATCGACCCGTCCTCGTATTTTACACCCGCGAAGGTCAGAAAGGAGAGTTCGCATTCAAATCGCAGGGTAACGTAACGTTCAAGGCATACGGTGCGGAGTCAGACCTTGCGAGTAAGCCGGCCAATGGCACCTACTCAAGCTTCTCGTACACCCAAAGCAAGGGTGCGACAGTCGTTGAGTTCTCCAACGGCGTTCTTGCTTATATGCTTGATATACCGACTGCATGGACCTTCTTTGCGCCATCAACGACAGATGACCCCAACGTCACACCCGACCACCAGATCTTCGTGCTCAGGCCATATCTCATCCGTTCAGCCAGTGCAGCAGGCGGCACAGTTTCCGTTATTGGTGACAATGCGAATGCGACGACTATCGAGGTATACGCTGGCTCTGAGGCGGAAACGATATCCTGGAATGGAAAGGAGCTCGCTACGACGAAGACTCCCTACGGTTCTCTTACTGCGAAGATCGCCGGAACCGCAGACCGCGAGATCGCTCTTCCAGAGCTTTCCAACTTCAAGGCTGCTGGGTCTTCGCCTGAGATACAACCTTCGTACGATGACAGCAACTGGGTTGTAGCCAACAAGAACACCACCCTGAGCCCAGTGAAACCACTCACTCTGCCCGTGCTTTTCAGCAGTGACTACAAGTACTACACCGGCGCCAAGATCTACCGTGGATACTTCTCGGGTAAAGCCGCGTCATCACTCAACATCACAGTCCAGGGTGGTGTAGCGGCCGGATGGGGTGCTTGGCTCAACGGTCAATCGATCGGTTACCACCCAGGTAACACATCACTCACTTCGACAACAGCCTTGCTCTCTTTCAAGAATGTTACATTGAAGGACGAAGGAAACGTCTTGACCGTGATAACCGACTACACTGGTCACGACCAAACCTCTACAGGCCCCGCTGGTGCCGAGAATCCTCGCGGTATACTAGGTGCCCAGCTCTTCAGTGGCAACAACACGAACGTCTCGTTCGACCAATGGAAGATCCAAGGTAACGCAGGTGGAGAGCGCAACATCGATCCCGTGCGCGGTCCAATGAACGAAGGCGGTCTCTACGGCGAACGTCTCGGTTGGCACCTCCCCGGTTTCGACACCTCTTCTTGGGAAGACGCCAGTCCCACTGCCGACGGCGTCCAAGGCGCCGGTATCCGCTGGTTCACAACCACCTTTTCCCTCTCTGTCGACTCCGACCTCGATGTTCCAATCGGCATTGAACTCGGTGCGCCGAAAGGTACCATCGCACGTATGCTCCTCTTCGTCAACGGATACCAGTACGGCAAATACGTTCCCCACATTGGACCTCAAACTCGCTACCCCATTCCTCCAGGTATTCTGAACATGAAGGGGGAGAATGTATTGAGTGTTGCGATGTGGGCGCAGACTGAGGCCGGGGCCAAGTTGGATACGCTGAAGTTGATTGAGTATGCGAGATATGAAAGTGGCTTTGCTTTTGGTGAGATTGATGGGAAGGCGTTGCAGCCGGGGTGGGTGGATAGGAGTGAGTACGCGTAGATGTCTAGCATACTACCAAGAGCGTGATGATACGAGACCGGCTACGATACTCATGCTCTGTGATTTCTTACAGTCTAACTGACTTGAGCCTCATGACTGTCCAACGCTCCCTGCGGAGCTGATCAATGTGAGTTTGTGCAACTAGTTCCGCTAGTCGAACAGTCGAATGACCATCTATACAGTAGCTCCGTCGTCTCACAGTCCAATTTCTCCAATTCTTCATCTTCGATCCCTAGTAACTCGCGAACTTCGCCCAAGTACTCTATGGTACGAACTCTCTCGTCTTCATACGGAAGTCTTCCGCCTTCCAGTGAAGTGTCATCTGCCCTTCGGAGGATCTGAACAAACAATTCAAGTGGCGACTTCGAGTAGTCGGGAATGATCAAAGGCCCATCGCAAAGGGCTAACAATGCGTACACGTGGTCTCGCACGTCCGCACATCCCGAATCCGCAAACTCGAGTATCACGGATTCGAAGATAAGTGTAAATTCCTTTCCACGATCACGAATAGACAGGTTATTATCTCGAAGTCGTTGAACTCGCGTGGCAGGACTATCCAGTATCATGCATAAATCATCCTTGTGAGAATGTATGTAGAAATACTGATCACGAATCCCTCTCATCTCATCGTGAGTGATCCCGTGTGAACCAAATCGTATGCTAATCCTTTTGCCTAGAACGTATTCTTGTACAATCCATATTCGGCTCCAGTAGGGTGAGCAATATAGCTCTTTGATGCACTCCAGATTCTCTTCCCACCAGGCTTCCTGCTCTGCAAGCTTAAGAATGTCGAAAGCTAGTAAAGTGCTGAACAACGTTCTCCATCTTGCAGTATGCTTCGTGGAATTCCCAAGCCAAACCAAAACAAGCTGAGCCTCCGAGTATATCTTTCCCATCATAGAGACTTGATGGGTACGCTCCGGATTGCTATCTTGATCAATACAGATAGCGTCTATCCAGAAAGGACAATTTTTCTCTTCCTTCCGTGCTTGATTAAGAAAGTTCCAGAGGTTCTCTCGTACGGTGAAAGGCTTGCCATTGACAAAAATCTCTCGGGAAGGCGTAGGCGGACCCCAGACATAGGAAAGTGCAGTATAGTGAGGATTTTCTCGGAGAGCAACAACGTGGAGGGCGCAGGCTATTGGAGTCGTCTCGTCATTCGTCGGGAGGATTTTGAGAAGTCGGATGTTCGTGCTGGCATCAATGTGGAGCGGAGTGTCTTCGTATAGGGCGGACATGATGGGAAACGATGTGTGGGGTCGGTCGCCAATAAGTGCAACATGGTGCGCATCAGTGCAGTCAGAAGGAGGGAGGAAGGAGGAAAAGAATAAAGAAGCGAGGGAAATGTTGACGGGGTCGATGAGTGAGACGAGGCTGAGGCGCAGCTGCCTACGGCTGAACGAAGCCTGAGAGCAGGAGCTAAGCAGGCTGGTTTAATAAGCGAGGCTGAATGGGCGATTAGTCAACGACAGATGTGTAGCGAATACAGTGCGCGTGAACATCTAAATCTTGCACATGCTTTTTGTTCCATTCCACACGCTCTTGAATCGCTCAAACATCTACGGACGTGATTGTATGCCAGCCTGTAGAAGGCCCGCTTTTATCGGAGCATATCTGTTAGTACTCCCAACCATCATCCCCGCTGTCCTCGAAGTCAAGCACCATATCTACCCAGTTGCCTCCACCATATTGGCACTTGCTAGGCCCGATCTTCTTGAATCCCGCTTTCTCATAGAACGGTATATACCGGTCTCTGCAGATGAGCGCTATCCTAGAACCCACACCCGAATCCTTGATCCTCTGTACGTAGCTCTGCAGTAATATCGAGCCGAGCCCTTTGCGCGCAAAGTTTGGGTGTACACATAATGAGTGCAAACAAACTGTCTGACCGTCTTCGTTGTGGCCTACATTTGGCGTGAGTTGGTAGTTGGTTTTCCAGTCCTTGGGATAGTCCATCGCGTCATCGGTGACAAGGGGTGAGTTTGCTTTGGTTGAGATGATGTGACCAATTATCACGCGCTTCCGGTCTGTGTCTGCTGAGTCTATTGATGGGAAGGAGTGCAACTTGATGGTCTCGCCTAATGGTCCTGACGTGGTGGGATAGGCGGAAGAGAAGAGCCCACTGCAGAGCTCACCACAGGTTCGCAGACGGTACTCGAGCTGTGGTAGGTCAGCGCGGAATCTAAAGAGACCGGAAGGAAAGAGCGCAGCACATGAGCGAGGAAGGGGAAAGAGCGAACGACCAGCGCATAACAAACTCAATTGAACCCGATGAACGACGTAAGAGGTATATTGGTGTTTCGTGAAACGATGGATAGGAAACAGGGCAGAAGACAATGTGCGCACTTGGTGGTTTGAGTAACATCGTTATGGAGAAGAGCGCATGGCTCGTGCCTGACGGAGCCCAATGGTGGCACTGAGCAGAAAATACAGGCATTGACCATGGTGTTCGAGATAACGTCGATGAAAGCAATCGTTCTCACCTTCTCGCGCGATGCAGCTTCAACCGGATCAAAGGCCGCATGCTCGAGCCAATCGCAATCATCCAGGTCGTCGATGTTCAGCAATGAAGCGTAGGGCCGGACGCCCATCTGCTTGAGTCTCCCCTCCTGGGCGATGTTGGAACTGCGATGAGGCACCAAACTCGATTGCTGCTCCACGGACTCTGGGCTAGCGACGGTCTCAGGCTCTCTTGATAGTTCGGGCATGCCATCGAGCGTCTTTTTGTCTGCTAGCAAGTCTCGTGGCATCTTGGCGGTGAGTTGCGACAGGTCAGATGGAGCGTTGTTATGATGATGGTACGGCAGGAGGGTCGGTTGATGCAACTATAGGAAGCCGGAGTGCAGTGGTGAGTCTGGGTTCGTGGTTCCTGGAGGACTCACGAGACTCTCTGCGGCCTCAGCCCCGCCTTTACTAGCGGTTCGCTTCGCGCCTGCCGTTGCAGATCGTTCCGGGTTAGCTGGGTGGCAGATGGCCCAAAGGAGCAGGCGGGGATATGCGTGTGTTATGGCTGGTATGGGATTCACTCTTCTAGACTCCTGCTTGCGTCTCAAAAAGCAATAACTTGTAATGGCGGGATTCGTGGATTGTCGACCATGCCCTGACTAGCGATGGTGTGGCGATGGGATTTACCATGACGTGCAGTAGGATGATGTCGGTGGGGTATGGCAACACCTGGTGGCATGGAGCTACAGCTCACGGAATCCTTTGCAGGGGCTAGCCGTAGGGCGCAGCGGCCAGATGATTCTCGTGCATGCGTTGGGCAGGAGTTGAAGCATCCCAGACATTATGCTATCCAGGTAGCTGGAGTAAGGTCTGGGTATGCTCCCGGATGAACAGCACCCCCGCGGAGATGGTGACCAGGCTCGCCGCATAGTCCGCCCAGGACAAGTGCATGGCAGACACGCCGTGGCTCCAAGCAGAGACGGTATTCATTTATATCGACGCGACTGTCTGCATCGTCTAGCCTCTCCCGCGCATCGGCTGCCCCGCTTGCTGTGGCCATGCTTGGGCCTACACCGCCAACGTCGTGGTTTGGATGCAGTAGTACTACTCCTTCGACTGCGCGCCGACGCCTACGCCCCAGCCCGACGTTGCTGGTATATTACGAGTGACAGCCTTGGTGGCCTAGGCGAAACTCTCACAACATGCAGCCTGTGCCCTCTGATCGCTGATTCATCCGACGCTGGGTTCGCGGCTCCACTACGTTCCATTCCCTTCCAGCCCAGCAGGCGGCGACTGACGTGCCCTCTCCCTCTCTCACTGCGAGGACCCTCCGGCCCGTTCCAGTCCCAGGTTGCGACCAGACCATCACGGCCCAGTGCCTCCTTCCTATAAGCTCCTGCGCACCGAGACACCGTTGCCCCGACCCGCCCAACCCAACCTCACCTCCCACCGTGTCACGTTCTTTGGCCTCATCCAGACGTGCCCGCATACGCCCCAGCCCGCTCCGAACCACCATGTGAGTCGATTCCGGAGCCGTGGTTGTGCCACCACCCCCAGCACGCTGCTAACACACGCCGCCAGGCCTCGCGTCACCATATCCATCACCGCGCCCGGCACCCAGGCCGACACGGACCTGCTGACGCTCGAACTGCCCCCCGGCAGCACCGTCAAGGACCTCAAGGGCTTCATCGAGGCCGACACCAGCCTGCCCGCCGCGTCACAGAGCCTCTACCTGAACGGCCAGCCGGTAGCCGTAGACACACAGACACTAGAGGACGCCGGAATACGGGATGGCGAGATGCTGGCCGTCGTGATGCGCGCCGCACCTCGACCAAACAGGAACCTCCAGCAGCCGGGCAGGCCCGCGCAACCTGATCCAGAAGGCGTGCGACAGCTTGTCCTCAACGACCCCCAGCAGATGAACAAGCTGCGCCAGGGCGACCCGGAGCTCGCCGCTGCCGTCAACGACCCCACCCGCTGGAGAGATACATATGCCATGAGGCAACGACAGGCCGAAGAGTCGGAGCGCGAGCGTCAGAACCAGATTGCCCTCCTCAACGAAGACCCTTTCAACGTGGAGGCGCAACGAAAGATAGAAGACATCATCCGCCAGGACCGCGTAGTCGAGAACCTCCAAAAGGCATACGACGAGAACCCTGAAGGTATGTCAACTTCGACCGGCGGATATATCGATGGGATATATAAGTGAGGGGCTGTGTCCACGGAAGCTAATATGTCACAGTGTTCACGCGCGTACACATGCTTTACGTCAACACCGAGGTCAATGGCGTGCCTGTCAAGGCCTTCGTCGACTCTGGCGCCCAGGCCACTATCATGTCCCCCGACTGCGCCGAGCGATGTGGTATCATGCGCCTGATGGACGTCCGATATGCCGGTATGGCACGCGGTGTCGGCACGGCCCGTATTCTGGGTCGTGTACATCACGCCGAGATCAAGATAGGAGGTGCGGTCATGCCCTGCGCTTTCACAGTCATGGAGGGCAAGGACGTCGACCTGCTGTTTGGTCTGGACATGCTCAAGCGTTACCGCGCCAAGATCGATCTCGAGAAGAACGCCCTATGCTTCGAGGGTCAAGAAGTCCCCTTCTTGCACGAGTCGGAAATTCCCAGGAGCTTTGAGGAGGCGGAAATGAACGAGCCAACTGTCCAAGGTCCCAACGGAGAGGAGATTGGTGCGAAGACTGGTGCTGTTCGACCGAAAGGCAGCGCTGCAGCTGGTCCTTCAAATGCTGGAGCATCGTCATCATCTTCTCAACCAGCGCAGCCGCAAGCCCAACCCACGGCGTCCAAGGCGCCCGTAGCATCTGCACCCACAAGCAACTTCCCTCAGGAAAACATCCAGCAACTCACTGGCATGTTTGGCTGTTCAGAACAGGAAGCCATACAAGCACTGGAGATGTTCGGAGGCAACGTCGAACATGCCGCGAGTTTCCTTCTCGGTGGTTAGTCAACGAGACGACCACAGCACCATAAGATCAGGATCACATGGCGCTCGCCTACACCCGCTGTAGTCTCACTCAGTAAGATTTAACCCTTTGGAAAGATCTGAACAGTTCAAAGGAGTCTCGATGATGAGGAGATGAGTTGACGAACTCATGACATGGCATCGATAGCATGCATGTATTACCAGGGAACAGGATTAGAAGCGAAGAAGCTTCATATGCATTAACGTAGTTTTACGAAGATAAGATAGATCAAATGAAGAAAGGCTTTCAACGCCCCTCTACGCGCTTCTTATCGTAACAATGCACTCCCAGGTCTACCTAATCTTGTACAAGCACGGCTTCAGGACCGCGCCGTCCTTAGCATCGCCCTCGTCATCGCCATCACCAGCACCAAACCTCTTTCCCTTGAGTCCAAACTTCATACCTCCACCCCTCTGCGCCACAGCCCCCGCCTTTTGGTCCTCCCTTGCGTTCTTGCCCTTGCTTGGATGCGCTGCCTTGACAAATTGCATCTTGACAAACATCTTGTTGCTCAAATCGATCGCATCGCCCGGCCTCTCGGGTAAAGCATCAAGAACGAATCCGCGCTTCCGCAACACCTCGATAAATGCAGAAACATCTGTTCCCTCTTTACCCTCCTGGCCATCTACATTGACCGCGAGTTCCTCCTCGTCTTCCGAGTCTACAGGGCCTTCCTCGGGTGGTTTATCTGCCTTGGCTTTCTTCGCCTTGGGAGGTTTCTTGTCCATAGTCTTCTTGAGGGAGCCGATGGAGTTGATAGGCACACCTCCCTTCTTCTTGTCCACACGCCCGAATCGCGATTTGATTTCCGAGACCCAGAGTTCGCCTTTCCAGCGCAGGATACGGTATGCTTCGTCGATGAAGTCGAGCCAGTTTGTGCCCATGAGTGCGAGACAGAAGATAGCTACGTCGACGCTGTTTTCGGAGATGGGCAGCGCGGAGATGTCGGCTATGGTTACGAGGTCGGCTGAGGGACCTGTGGGTTTGGATAGGTCGAAGGAGTGGAAGGTTAGGTTGAGCGATTTGAGGTGCGGTTGGAGGCGGTAGGATAGCGAGGCTGTTCCGCAGCCTAGATCGGCGACGGTGCAGTGACCTTTGAAGTCTCGGGGGAGAGGCTTCGCGTCTCCGCGGGGAGGTGCGATGGCTGTGGTCTCTTCTTCCTCAAAACCGGGGCCTCTGCGAACTGCATTCTTTGGTGGGCCTCTTCGGTCTTTTCGTATGTCCTTGTTCCGTAGCTTGCCTCGTACGATTATGCTGTTTACGTAGCCGTCTACGGGGTTCGATGGCCATACTTCGACTTGTTGTGCGAAACCGCGATGGTAGTCCTCGAACATCGATGGGTCTTCCTTGAACAGAGACGCGCTGTCCGCAGAGGGTTTTGTGTAAAGCGCTTCGTTCAAGTGACGGAATCGCGCACTGGCGAGCTTGCTGCGCATCGATCGCTGGAGAGGTGTGAGGCCCTTGGGCTCGGGAAGGAGGTTCTCCAGGACTGGAGTCGCGGAGGCGGGGTTCGTGCCGTTTGCGTTTGCGGCGAGGAGCTTATCGGCTTTGGATTCCTTCCTGCGCTTCTTCTTCTCGCGCTTTGCCTCGCTGTCGGCTGTTGCGGGTTTCTCTTCAGCAGACTTCGTGGCATCTGCTTTAGCCTTTGCAGGCTCAGCTACCGCCGCTGCCTCCGTTTCCACGTCTTTTGCGCCCTCTGCATCTGCCTCCTTGTCTTTGTTGCCTCCAGCCTTTCCCCTCTTCCTCTTCTTTCCACGCTTGTCTTGCGCTGCCTCATCTGTCGCCTCTACAGTTGCTGCCTCCGGCTTCTTGGTCTTCTCGGTCTTCTCCACTTCCGCACCTTTTCCATTGGCTATGCTTTCCCATTGCTCTGCAAGATTGTCTGCATTGACCTGCTGCTCCTCGCGCTTCTCCTTCCTCTTCTGCGCCTTCTTTCCAGGTTTTGTAGAGTCTTTCGGCTTTGGTACTTCGACCTGAGTCTTCACCTGCGCGGCAACGTTCCATCCGGGCACGGCAAACATCGTGACGGGTGTTTGGAGGCGAGTAAATTGTGGCAGAGTCAGATCTGGAAGTTGCGCTGGAAAGTACCTGCGACGGCTCGAAATTTTGGGCGGCGGAAGGTTCTGCCGACCGGGAAATGTGGGGCTCCCGCGCGGAGTTCGAGCTCCACTTCGCTGGAACCATCAATAGCTTCTTCAACTTGGCATTCGTCGTCTACATCATTTTCCGATCAAACATCCGTAGTCTTTCTTCTTATTGACATTTTGCGATCGTTCCCAAGGCCTGTCCTAATCTGAAAAAGTGTGTCAAGAGTCGTCG